CACATACCTGGTCCAGTATTTTTAAGATGAGACTGTCTTAGTCACCCACGAATACAGTCCTAGAGCTTTTACCTTTCAGGGTCATCCACCACCACCTCCCCTGACCCCGTCCTGCACGCTCACATCCCAGTCACGGGGAAGCCTCATCGTGCTCCTCGCAAAGCATGCACTTCCGCACCCCAAGCCTCCCACACCCTCTTTATCCTCCTGCTGAAACTTTGCTTCAGACTCAGCTCCAATGCCACCCGACTCTCACTGCTTCTGGGACCGCTGTTACCTGTTCCTTTCAGCCCCCCTCTGGCGCGTCACAGGGCTCGCTTTCCACTGGCACCACACTCGCACCTGGCCCGTCCCTCTAACCTGCCCTCTCCTTCGGGCAGGACTTGTGCTGCAGTCACCTTGGTCTCCCCGCCCGGTCTGGACGTGTGCACCGTGTCTGTCCACCATCTCCTTTCATTTCCCCCAAAGCAGGGCTTGTGTGGAGAACACATGGGGAACGTGCAGAGCGATTTCCTTGTCATGTGACGACGACAAATTGCATCAGGGAGTGAAATGCTCTTTTCCTCTATATTTTCACCCTCTAACACACTAAAGGTTTTATGTACATGCTGTTGGTCTGACTCCTCTGAGCAAAACGTACGCTACATGAGGGCTGAGACTTCTGTCTGTTGTGTTCCCGTGGACACCCTCAGTGGCTGGTGCATGGTAGATACTTGGGCATCACATCTACCATGCATCACTGCCGAATGGATTCACTTGGCTCAGGCACGAGGAGCGAGAGAGATCTCAAAACAAAGTCCTCTTTGTCTGCTTAGTGTTTGCACCAAGCATAACAGAAAGGGATGAGATGAAAACTACCCCAGTTGTCACATATCCCAGCAATTGTGGGATTTCCCCCAAATCCTTCCACAACAAACCCCTAAAACCTGGGCGGGGACCCTCTGAGAGCACACACAGCCAACCTCTTCGATGCACACTCAGTTCTCCCAAGCCTCCTTTCCCCTTCATTTCCCAGGATGTGTGTTTTGGGCTGAATTGTATCTTCCCAAGTACCTCCGGATGTGAATGTGTTTGGAGGCAGGGACTTTCAAGAGGTAATGAAGGTAAAAGTGGGTCGCCAGGGTGGGCTCTAACCCGCTAGGACGGATGTCCTTGTAACAAGGGGAGAATGGGACACAGACACACACGAAGGAACGACCATGTGAGGACACGGTCCTGCCAACACCTTCATCTTGGACTTCCCGCCTCCAGAACCGTGAGAAATAAATGTCTGCTGCCTCAGCCCTATCCCCCAACCCCCATCAGTAACACCTTGTGATGGCTGCCCCAGCAAACTAATGGGATGTGGGAAGTCCCACCGGGAAGCATGTTTTGGTCAAGGACGCCCCCGTTGAATGCAGGGCTGTAAGCCGAGTGGTAAATGAAACAGTGCCGACACCAAGGAAGGAGGGGGGAAAGAAACAAAGAAAGGCATAACGTGTTGACATTTTTTTTTATATTTGGTCTTTGTAAGTCTTTAAAAAAAAACAAACAACATTTCAGGCCATTTTTTTTCCTTAAAAAACAAACAGAGAAAAGCAACCGACAGCAATACTCTGTACAAGTATAACAAACATTAGAAATATGCATCATTCCAAAATAGCTACAAGAAAATTACAGTTTTAGAGTCTACATCAACACATCCTACCCTTATGTGCCCCATGGGAGGTAAAAAAAAAAAAAAAAAAAAAAAAAAAAAAAAAAAAAGCTACAGTATGTTGAACTTGGCTGCTCTGGACAGTCTGAAAACGCAGGACCTGGGACTTGGGAGGTAAATCGGCATCCGTCACCGACGCTTGTTTAGCTCAGTAAGCGTGACCGATCATTCCAAACGCGAACCGGGCTTTTTCTTCTACGTGAAAAACAAACGTGAATCAGCTGCAGAGTGGGCCCCCACCCCCACCCCGGAGCCTCGAACTTGACGAGACCCAAACCCAGGAGAGCCAAGGAGGCCACCTCTGGTCGTCACTACACGCTCACAGAGAACACACCCCAGATGCCATTGCCTCTCGGTGGAACTTTGGAGGCCAAACGTCTTTGCGTGGAAAAGAGAGCCAATGACCCACATCCCCCAAACTAAGGCCCACTCACCCCACCCTGGCTGCGTGTCTGCGTGTCACTCAGCTACTAACGCAGGGCAATCCCGCCCTCTCCACGGTCCCTCCAATTCGAGTTATTTGTTCCTGGGAGGGTTTGGGGCAAGAGCTCAAAAGCACCTTCCTCTTTCCCGTGACCATCTCCCAGCCTCTACATCCTTCACAGTTACACGTGAACCTTCCCTTGGCGGACCCTGTGCTACACATACTCCCGCCGCCCCCCTCGCCCCGTCCATGGCGTCTTCGGGATGCAGACTTCCGTGTGACCTGCCGCTCGGAGTGCAGGCCTCTCCAGCACAGGCCTTCCTCTGGGGCTGGGAATGGCGTGCGGGAGTGGCCCGAGGGGCTGCTGGCCAGCTCCCCAGCCCATGCCAGGTGGAAGGAAGAGGGTTCCGGCTTGTTGGTTTTTTTTTAGTTTCTATACAATATGGTTATAATTATTGTTGCTTTTTTCATTTCTTTTAAAGGGATTGTTAGAGGCAAGCCCTTTCCTCGGACGTCTCCATGACAGTGATAGGGGCAGGGCAGGGCACAGCATCTCCCGGGGATGTGACACCCAGATCAGACCCATCACAAGGGTTTCCTGACCAACTGGAGCGGGGAGGAGGGTGGCCACAGAGCTGCTGCCTCAGCGGACACCTCTGACTGAAGCTATGGGATTCTGAGACCTGAGTGAAGGTCGGAAAGCCATCGGCCCACACCCGGCTGCACCCCACACCCCGCAACCGTGTGGCTTCCTGGATTCAGACCTACACAGGCCCAAGGCCCCCCTCGGAAGTGGGGTCCAGAGGGCCCAACCTGGCCGGGCCAACCCATTCCTCGAAAGGTCTGGCCTTGAATGAACTGCTTACCACCAAAGACAGCAAAGGATTTATTCAGCAAAAAAAAGTGCAATTTCCGTTTGGGAAGTCAGGTTCTCCCCAACACGAGACCTCACCGCCTCTCCTTGTCATTCTTTCGGTACCTCAAAGGGAAAGGGGACGACAGGCGGACAGCACTGACCTCTGAACTGAGTCAAGGGCATCAGTACGTCGTGGTTCACCCCTCCCGACCCCAAACACCCAGTCACACGTCCAGTTCCGCTATCAAAGTGCCGGTGAGCTGAGGAGCGAGGCAGGGTCGGGGGCAGGGCCCACCGGGAGCAGGGCCCCCGGAGAGGATCCACTCCCATCTCCAATAGGACACATTCATCCTAAGGTTACAGCAGGACTCATGGCCGTGGCCGAGGGCCACGGGCTTTCGGGGGCCGGACATTCCTTCATAAGACCTCGTATCCTCCACTGCCGACGGGAGGATACACTCAAACACTTCTTCACAACAGAACCTGAGCCACGATATAAAATAAAAAGAAACACAACCTTCCATGTTAATGCCTTGAGAAGTTTAACAGATTATGTACCAATAAAATTAATCCACATAAATTCTGAAATTCGTGGTGGATACACACCTGAAGGAAAAAAAAAAAGTTAATCTACATTTTTTTTTTAAATCAAAGTAATTACAGCAGCAGTAGAGTGAAAAGAGGTTTTCAAAATGATAGTTACATCTTGATACCAATTCAAACTTTGTACACCTCAATTCAAAGAAATGACTTGTTGTTGTTTTTTTTTTGAGGGTTTAGTATCTATATATATATACAGTAGATATCAATATGTGTCACCACAGACAGACTAAAGCCAGTGGACTTCGAAGGAGGAGGAATTAACTTGACACTTGTTTTCACACTGAAGTGTTCACAGATTGCCACACACTTACACACACACACACACACACACACACACACACATAAAATGCCAACCTGAGTAAAACATTGCTAAGAACCTAGAGCATCAGGAATCACTAGTCACATATTGCACCTTTAAATAATCCTTCTTACCAAGTACGAAATGAGGGAATGAAAGGACAGAACAGGGACTAGAAAAGGAGAGTCCATCACTGTAGGGTTTCCTTTGCTTCCCTACCCGCCCACCCCCCAAATTCCACTCTCACTCAACCAGTGGGCTGAACACACACATCTGTGGGGAACTGGGGGGCGAAGAAGGGGAGGGAGGGGACGAAAGAATAGAACACAAATGAGAGGCGGGGGGAGGAGTGTTAAAGGGGGAAGGGAACGGGGGGGGGGGATAAAAGAAAAGAACACAAAATGGGGAGGGGGGGAGATAGTGAGGGAGGGGCCTCCTCTAATCAAGAATAGGAATGTTACCGAGAAGACTGGACCTCTGATACTAAACTACCGTTTAAATATTCCTCAGAGTCCAATTATGAGATTCAATACAAAAATAGAGAAATCTTCTGAGTTCTGCCTGTGGAAGCATAATTCAGAAAAGGCACATGTTCAAATAGAAAACCCAGGCCGGAGAGGCGCTGCCTTCCCGTCCCTGCACCATCATCAAGGTCCACAGTTAAGCATCTTCCATCAGAGAGATCCCGAGATTCAGTAGGTAAAAATAGACCTCTGATACTTAAAATATATTCAACCCAACACGATCCTGGCTTTCCCATGTGGATCATATAAAATAGTTTTGTTTTGTTTTAAAAAGAAAAAATCTGTTTTTGAAAAAGAAAAAGAAAAAAGAATCATAGCTCACGTTTCCTGGTTTTCCATCATTCTCAGGGGAAAAGAGTAAACTCCTCCCACCGGGGACCAGGATGCAGCTGACTGGCTCATCACCCATCCGTGGCCCCCAACAGCCCCAACCTTTCATCTGTCACGTGTTATGTGGGCAGCTTTACACCCTCAATTCGTTCTAACAAAACAGATCAAAGAATTAAGATACTAGACATCTAAAAGCATGTCCACTTCAGGGCGTCTTTCTTTGCTGTGGGTGTGGCGACCTCATTAACACCAGAGATTTTCCTTTGGAATCAGGCGATGTAACCATTGGTTTGTCCAAACGTGGCCATGGGGGCGATGTTCTCGTAGATTGTCATTGCGGTTGTGTTCTGGTAGATGAGATCCACTTTCGAGTCTCTATGGGATCGGATGATATCCAAAACACACTGATTGAGGAAAACATACTGGTCCTGTTGGACAAGGGGAAAAGAAGGAAGCGAGTAAGCACAGGTCCCGGAGATCAGCAACCAACCCCACCCGCCCCTCAGAGAATACTTCAGGTTAACGCGTCCAGGGGTAACCACTTTCCAGTGAGACCTGCAACCTCAGAGAGCAAGAATCTCACTCACCATCACTGAGTCTCAGCCAGAGGGGCAGACTCCCCAAACCTCCCCTCAGCAAGATTCCAAGATTCAATAGTAAAAACAGACCTCTGACACTTAAAATATATCCAACCCAACATGGTCCTGGCTTTCACATGTAGATCACATAAAAATAGTCTTTAAAAAAAATAATCTGGCCCTGACTGGTTTGACTCAGTGGATAGAGTGTCGGCCTGCGGACTGAAGGGTCCCAGGTTTGATTCCAGTCAAGGGCGTGTACCTTGGTTGTGGGCACATCCCCAGTAGGGGGTGTGCGGGAGGCAGCTGATCAATGTTTCTAACTCTCTATCATTCTCCCTTCCTCTCTGTAAAAAAATCAATAAAAAATATATTTTTTTAAAAATCTGGTTTTTAAAAAGAAAAAAATCATGCTCACTTTTTCTGGTTTTCCATGCTCATCGAGGAAAGAAAAGTGAACTCATCCCACCAGTAACCAGGAATGTGCCCCCACCACAGCCCCCGACAGTCCCACTTTCTCATCGCCATGTACCGGTGTCACATCCAAGGAGAAATACCCGGATCGTGGGGAAGGGCAAAGGAAGGATGTGGAGGTGGTAACGCACACGCACATTCACATCATAAACGTTCCCAAAAGATCCTCTTGGCTGGTGAGGATGTGCAGAATAAGGAATAGACTGTGATTCTCAGCAGAGGGGGTAGGATTGAGGGGGGTGATGGAGGTAGAGTCCAGTGGGGACCACCTGTGGGCAGCATATCAGCTCTGTAGTGTCCATTCAAAGAGGAAGGAGAGGTATATGCCAACACAGAAAAATACCCATGATGCTGTAAGAGGAAATAAACTGCAGAGCAGCATCATATATAAAATAGGGTTTCATTTTTTAAGAATACTCCAGGTCGTGTGTGTGTGTGTGTGTGTGTGTGTGTGTGTATGGACACGTGTTTTTCTGCAGCTGTACATCAAGAAGCCTCTGAAGATACACACAAGCTGTAAACATTGGCTACTTCCAGGGAATGTGGGTGGGAAAGAAAAAGTAAAAGAGAAAAAATGTACCCTATATAATGCTGTCTTCATCAGATCTTTTCATTTTAATATTATTTTCAGTTAAGTTCATATTACTTTCAAAATTTAAAAAGGGACCTGGAAATCATTTGTAAGCAGGTATAAGATGTCTGTTTCTCTCAAAGGAGGAACAAAGGTAGAGAACCGCTACTCTACGTAATTATGGCAAAAAAAAAAAAGAAAGAAAAAAGAAAATGTCTTTTCCAACCAACACAACAGGGCGATTCCACACTTTGCACCACAACCACACTGCTCACCCCAAAGCACGCCGTGTCCCCAGGCCTCTAGAACGTTCCCTGCTGGACTCCAAAACCGCGCACATATTCACGGCAACAGCCCGATCCTAAATGAACCTGCTGCTCTCACCTTGGCCGAGGCAATTCACCCTGCAGCTTCGAGAAGGGCCACTTCCCAATGTATGTGCTGGGAACATGCCTGGCAAAGGCTCACTGGGAACATTTCAGGGCGGCCCCGTGGCTACCAAGCATCCCCTTTCTCAGTTGCCCGCCATCCTCCCACAGCTATGGACCTGCTATTCTCTCACCGGCACAGGCTGGGATACATGGCTATATTCATGTGTAAAGCAGCATTATGTTATTTCATAGTATTCATATTTGATAAGTCCGTTTCACGGACTTATCAAATATGAATTGATAAGTTGAATATGAATTGATAAGTTGAATATGAATTGATAAATTGAATTAAAAATTTGATAGTTTATTTCAAGGATGGTCAGAGCTTCTTAGAAACAAAGAGCGAGCCCGGCTGTTGTTGCTCAGTGAGTGAGCATCAACCTATGAACCGGGAGGTCATGGTTCGATTCCAGTTAAGGGCACATGCCCAGGTTATAGGCCGGATCCCCAGGAGGGAGCATGCTGGAGGCAACCGATCAATGATTCTCTGTTGTCATTGATGTTTCTCTCTTTCTCCCTCTCCCTTCCTCTCTCTGAAATCAATAAAAAAATATTTAAAAAAAAAAAAAAGAAGAAGAAGAAACAAAGGCCAATTTTACGAGTGTTAAATCCGGAAGCCAAAGTTCGGGGACCTGCTGAGATTACGGGTGAGTCTGTGGCAGTGGGTAAGGATCCTGTGTAGGGATGTGGTGCCATCAATGATATCAGTACCATGGGTCACTGTATCGGGTAGTTCAAGCCCACGTCAGTTAAGGATCTTAAAGAAATCGAGTTGTGACATCACGGCCAGGAGCCAGAAAGACCTGGAAGGGTGACACAGTCTAACACGAGTGCGTGACGCGAACAGACAGGAAGGGCGGATTGTCCCACCGCCGTGGGCCTCACCTCGGTTTGCACCATTAAAGGCCTGTGCATGCGAAGGTCGTACACAATCCCATACACGTCCACGGAGTACTCGTTCTCTATCTGACAGATGAGGCGGTCGATGGCGATGAAAGTGCCCGTCCTTCCGACGCCCGCACTAGAAGGGAAGGGAACAAGCACGTCTCTGTGGGTGACCCCTGCTGCCAGCTTCCCCTGCCCTGTCAGCTGTGTGCTCTCCTCCATGACCAGGCTGCGAGGACAGAGCCCAGGATCATGGAACGTTTGCTCTCCTGAAACCTCAGCTCACTTGGGATGGCGGCCCAAATCCTAACCTTCCTTTGGAGTCAAATGCCACACATAAAACACCTTGCTAGCCCAGGTGGTGTGGCTCCGTGGTGGAGCATCGACCTATGAACCAGGAGATCACGATTTGATTCCCAGTCAGGAGGGCACATGCCTAAGTTGCAGGCTTGACTCCCAGTGTGGGGTATGCAGGAGGCAGCCGATCCATGAATCTCTTTCATTATTGATCTCTCTCTCTCTCTCTCTCTCTCTCTCTCTCTCCCTCCCTCCCTCCCTCCCTCTTCCTTTCTCTATGAAATCAATAAAAATACTTTTTTTTTTTTAAAGAAAACCAAAAACCACCTTGCCGGAGCTTCTTGGATCCCCAGGCCTAGTCAAGTTGCCACCATAAGCTAGGATGGCAAGTTTCATCAATTTATTCCCCTGGGGAACACAGTTCCTCCTTTCTCCTGTCTTAAATTCGCCCATTTGCTTTAAAGCTCGTGTCACTGTTCTAGAGGAGGGGGTGGCAAACTCCTTCTGCAAAGGGCCAGACAGTAACTATCCTCTTTCTGCCATTGTGGCGTGACAGTCACTTCAGACAATATTCAAACTAACGAGCACAGCTGTGGCCCAGGATAACTTCACAAAAATAGGCAGCAACACAGATTGTGGTGATAGTATCATGGAAATATATATACTTATCCCCAAGTTTGTCAAGTTGTATATATTAAGTGATGTGCAGTTTTTTTGTATGTCAAAAAAATATTTTAAGTGAATTAGTAAAACAAACTAGAATTATGTGTTTCGATATCGTTAAATAACAAACCAACATGCTGAATGAAGACAACAGGTTGCAGAATGATGTATGCACAATAAAATCTGGTAAAAGTTTAAAGCTGTATGAAACCTGAGAGATATATGCATGTGCAATAAAACATAAAAGCACACAAGGGAATAACGCACATGAACTTTAGGACCACATTCACCTGGGATAGGAGACTGGTAGGTGGAGACTTTATATCTAGAATGTATTATTAACAAAAAGAAACCCATGTGGTCTCGTGGTATGCCTTATACATGGTTACTCTTCTCTATATTTTTGCAAGGTTGAAATATTTTACAAGAAAATATTATAAATAAGAAATACATTAAAATACATTATAGTTTTAAAAAAATACAGGCAACCTACCAGATCTGGCCCACAAGCTATCGGTTGCCATTCCCTGTCCCAGGGTTTAGGGACTAAGTTGTGGCCCCGTCTCCAAGCCTTTCCTGACTCCGTAGATGCCTACTGCATCCAATCCAGACCTTGCTTTTCAAAAGTATTCGTACTTATAATTCCTTTGAAATCGGTCCCAGGTGAAGCGCCACCTGCCTACCTGCAATGCACCAGGATTGGAGACCCGGGAGGACTCTGCTTCATGTAGTCACGGACAAGATACCGGAAGTTGATGAGCAGGTCAGTGGTGTCGGGAACCCCGTGGTCAGGCCAGGACGTGAAGTGGAATTGTCGCAGAGGGTGGCTGTCACTTGTCTGTTTCTAAAAGCCAAGAAAAGAATAAGAGGTGTTAGCTCTGGCCAGTGTGGCTCAGTTGCTTGAGTGTTGCCCCATGTACCAAGGGATCCCGGTTCAATTCCTGGTCAGGGCACATGTTTGAATTGCAGGTGCAGTCCTCAGACAGGGCGTGTATGGGAAGCAGCCAACGAATGTTTCTCTCTCACCTCCATGTTTCTTTCTCTCTCTCCCCCTTCCTCTCTCTCTAAAAAATCAATAAAAACATGTTTTTTTTAAAAACGAAGAAGAAACTAGAGGGTAGATCCCGAGGGAAAAGCTGCCTGGTCACATCAGAAAGCTGTGAAACAAAGCAGTACCTGAATGCTGACCCGCACCAAATGGCTGAAAGGTGGCTTTCACCAGCAGTGGTTACAACTAGAAATTAGCATTGTATTTTGGTACAACATCTAATAAAGTGCTTACACAAACTTCAATATACTCATCAATTCCTCATAACATACCCAAGCTGGAGGGTTTATTATCCGCCTTTAAAAACAAGGGAACAAAAGTTCCATGAAGTGAAGTGATGTCCCCAACACTCGGCATCGGTGGTAGAAGTCCCTCACCTCTGAATTTGGGTTCAGACCTCTTCCCTTTCCCACTACAGCTCCCTGCTGATAGCATGCTCACATTCACACCCTCAGCTCCTTAGCACTTGGTAAAGCCCATCCCTGAGCCCACTTGGGAATGTCACTGACCTAAAATAAACGTATAGAACCCATCTAAGATACTCGGTGCCTTCAGGGCCAGAACTGCCTCGTAATCACATCTCTGAAGAATTTAATAACATGGTAGGCAAGTAGCAAGCACCACATAAATATTTAGAATTGTAGGCATTTGAGAAAGGACCTCCCATACCACCCAAAAAAAAAAAAAATCTATATCGCCCTGACCAATTTAGCTCAGTGGATAGAGTGTTGGCCTGCGGACTCAAGGGTCCCAGGTTCGAATCCAGTCAAGGGCAAGTACCTTGGTTGTGGGCACATACCCAGTGGGGAGCGTGCAGGAGACAACTGATCGATGTTTCTCTCTCATCGATGTTTCTAACTCTCTATGCCTCTCCCTTCCTCTCTGTAAAAAATCAGTAAAATATATATATTTTTAAAATAGATATATATATATCAACAGCAGATAGACAATAGAAAGTGAACCCTGTTACAAGTTAGTTATTACACAGACAGGTTTCCTACCAGAATGGGAGCATGGAAATTTCTGATCAGAACTCCACCCAGGCTGGGCCATTCCTATCCCTGATTCAACCGTCCTCATTAGGCCCACAGCCAGGCATTGCTTGCACCTGTGTATGTCCACATCTGGACTGCAGGCATTGCTGTCTCCTTTATGACAGCTACCCCTGGAGGCTTTTTTTTTTTAATGCATATGCATTATAAACACAGTGCATTCACAGTCTTCAAAATGTGGAAAATAGTCAGGAAACAAGGCAGAAGCAGAGGAGTGAGTGCTGTGAAGTCCCATCACACACAAATGTAACACTCACAAACTTAACCAAAAGTATTCAACCAAAGAAAGCCAGCCTTGACAGGTGAGAGGAGAGAAAGGAAGATGGAAGTCGCACTTGACAATATTATTTCTACAGGGAGGCAAAGGAGCCTAGGTGAGGGGTGAGATCAAAAGGAACGTTTCACTCTACCTGTAATGTTTCCACTTCTAAAAATGAAAATATACCTGTGCATGTTCTGTGATTAAAAAGTAAATATTTTACTAAATGCTATATAGTATCCTATATTGGGTCCTGGGACAGGAAAGGGCTTTAGTAGAAAAATGTGAAATCCAAATAAAAGCTGAAGTTTAGTTAACAAAAAAAAAATAATAATAATAGTAACAGTAATTTTTAAATGATGTGGATAATTTCACCCACAGTTATCTTCCACAAGGGTAAAGCAACTAAGGATAAGCCAGTCCATTTTAAATGGGTGAAATCTATAGAAATATGCATGACATTTTAAAGAATTCTCCACTATTATAAATTGCATTATTTATGCAGACAACACAAGTGCATGATAAGAGTTTGGAGAGCATGTCCCTGAAAAGAATTAAAATATTAGCTAAGGCCAGAGGCTTTGAGAAACAGCAACTAGTAAAGAGTTAATACTTAACATGATGCACTGCATCCATGACTTACGGAAATCTTCAAGGATATTCTCGCACATTAGTACCTAACCCCCATCCCATAAAGATTCATCCCAACACCAATGAATCCACTTGCAGGCTTTTCTTTCATGTATTATTCATAATATGCATAAAACTTTGTCTCCTAGCCTATTCACTTAATTATGGTCATGGCAGTTATCCAGTCTACATAGCTATTACTAACAGCTGAATAATGACACAATGACTAGATAAACTATAGTTTAGTTCTCCATTCTCCAAAAGCTAGATATTTGCATGGTTTTCAAACCCCCCCCCCCATTACAAATAATGCTGAGTTTCATTTTTATAGATAACAAGTCTTCTCCTAAATTTTAGATTGATTCTTTGGAATAGATTCTCAAACTTGGAACCACTAGACCCAAGGGACATTTTATGCCCTGGGTAATAGACCGCAAAGAAGTATGCCCATTCACATGCCCATCAGAAGCTAATATTGCTTCCTGGCACTGCTTCTATGTTTAAACACTCTTAACCAAAGAGAAAAGACACATAAACTAACTTCCTCAAGTGCCTACACCCATGGTCAGCAAACTGCGGCTCGCGAACTACATGCGGCTCTTTGACCCCTTGAGTGTGGCTCTTCCACAAAATACCATGGCCTGGGCGAGTCTATGTTGAAGAAGTGGTGTTAGAAGAAGTTTAAGTTTACAAAAACTGGCTCTCAAAAGAAACTTCAATCGTTGTACTGTTGATATTTGGCTCTGTTGACCAATGAGTTTGCTGACCACTGGCCTACACTATTTATTGGATTTGTTTTCATAATTTGGGGGTGGGGGTTGGAAATCCTATTAATGAAACTGTCCAACAGGAAAATACTATTCCTGATGTCACAGTTCCTACTAATGCAAAAGGGCCTTGGTTTGTAACAAAAAACACTATGAGCAAGTCAGCAGGAAGTGGAAGGAAAGGAGCTATGGATGCTGAGCCATTAAGGTCCATTTTGTTCAAGAATAACATGAAATGCTCCTTAAGAAAGTAAAGCTAAAGGTTGCCTTAGTGTGTGTATAGATATGAATTGTTTTATTCTGTAAAGAAGAAAGCAAAAACATTTTGAATGCATAAAAAAGATTCGTTAATATTAACCTAAAAAGTTAAAATTAAAATATGGTCATTTTATAGGAGACCTAGCAAACTTGACCTCTTACTTACATTTTTCACTATGAAGTCTCTGATGGTCCATTCTGGAAGAACAATTTCAGATGTCATTGCCACCGTTATGTCCCCATAATCCTTGGCCTGCTTGGAAGGCCAGTACTCCTCACATTTGGTCTAGAATAAAAGTGTATTCTTTAAATATTTCATTTATTGATTTGGGAGTGACAGAAACAGAAACATCAATTTGTTGCTCCACTTATTTATGCATTCATTAGTTGATTCTTGTATGTGCCCGGACCAGATTTCAAACACCCAACTTTGGCGTGTTGGAATGGTGCTCTCACCAACTGAGCTACCCAGCCAGGACTGAAAGTGCATTTTTATACAAAGACTGAGATCACACCATCTGTTATCACTGAAGCCTCTCAAGCGAGACCAGATATTGACAACTGGCATCAGGGACTAAGTCCTCTAGTTGGATTCTGTTTAACTCTTAAAATTGATGTGTGTTTTAATTTACAACTGTTGCCAACTCTTTTAAAATTGGAAGATTTCTCATAGAAATCCGGATTTCTGGCTTCTCTTGGAAAATCAGATCTGGCCAACACGGAGCATTCATTTCTGCATGAAAATTGAGTTAGCGCTACCCAGCAGCTGTAACTTCTCAGGGGACACAGTCCCACCCAGTCCCCTGGGGCCCCTATAGCAGCCCCTCCATGACTGTTCCCTGAACTAAACACTGATTGACCCAGAACCAAGTGCAGCTGGAAGAAATGAGATCTGCACCCAATACCGCCACAGACACACTAAGTGCCATACAAATATAGACGCTGGTAAAGAGGATCAGATGAAATCATTTTAGGATCTTGGATCCTACAAATTGGTTAGCAAATGTGAACAGGAAAAAAAAAAAATCAAAAAAACGACTGCTCTTCTAGCGTGGTGAAGACCTTGGGCAAGGGGTGGGAGCGGGCTAGAAGGTATCAATGGGGGGGGGGGGGGGGGAGGGAACATCTGTAAAACTTTCAACAATAAAGATAAATTTTAAAAAGAAAAGAAACAACTGCTCTCCAAGAATATCTGCAATCCCATTTGGCAAACAACAATGCACACATGCATACACACACACACACACACACACACACACACACACACACGTACTCAACTTCCTAAGGTATGCTCTACAGCTGGTGGTTTCCAAACCTGGTTGGTTACCGGATTGACTGACCTGGGAGATCTGTTTTGCTTTAAAAACTGATGCCTGGGACCAACCTCCAGAAACTCCAACCCAGGCATGGAACCTGCATTTTTCCTAAGATCCCAGTGTCTGGCCCACTGCTCCAAGAAAGAACACAGAACTTGAACATACACGGACATGGAGTTGACTTCCAGCTCCAGCTCTTAACCAGCTGGATTTTTGTTGCCACCTTGTGGGCAAGTTCTTAAGCTCCCTGAGCCTCAATTTCCCATCTATAAAATACTGATAATGCCTCACGGGGTGGTTTTAGGAAAGAAGTAACATATATGGAGCATCTTGTGCAGAAAATACTGTAGACTGGCTCTCTTCCCCTTCTACCCAGAATCAGCATCATCTACTTCCCCCTGACCTAAGATGAACAAGTCATCCTCATGGTCATTGCTCAATTACGTACATCACTTTTGTTTGTTTAACAGATACTATAAGAATGTTCCATGTGTGAGGCCCAGGGCTGAAGACCCATAATGTTCATATACATTCATAATCTATGAGCATTAATGGGCTGTTCTCCTGATACCAGAAGGGGGTACAAAGCCCTACCCTCTGTATCACAAGAAGATGGCAATCATCTTTCATTGTTCTTTGCTCCCTTTCCTTCCTCCATGCCCAGCCCCTGCCACAGGGCCTTACACAATCTTAGGCTGAAAAAATATCTTCTATATGAAAGGGAAGAAAAGAACATTAAAAGAAATGGTGTCTGCCCAGCCAGCATGGCTCAGTGGTTAAGTGTAGACCTATGAGCCAGAAGGTCCCAGTTCAATTCCCTGTCAGGGCACATGCCCAGGTTGCAGGTTCAATCCCTAGTATGGGGTGTGCAGGAGGCAGCCAATCAATGGTTCTCTCTCATCACTGATGTTTCTCTACTCCCTCTCTCTTCCTCTCTCTGAAATCAATAAAAAGAAAACAGAAACGATGGCAAGTTCCATCCCCTAGCTCAGTGCTACTCAAAGCAGGCATGCTGGACCAACAGAAGCATCAGCCCCTGGGAACGGTCCGAATGCACAGACCCTCTGAATGAGAAACTCTAAAGGTGGAACGTCCCTCCAGGTGATTCTGATGTATGTCCAAGTTTGAGAACTACTGGTCTAGAGACCTGAATCCTCTCCTATTCTTCAAGTAAAAAAAACCTACAGGAAAAGAATCACAGAGCAACATTAGGTCCCATTCCTCAGGCACAGAATTCCTGAGTTCAGCATGTTTTCCAATTCTCCTCGGACCCATTTATGGAAACATGGGGTTTTAGTACTAGCAGAAATCTTATCTTTAATGGAAACGGCCAAGGGATTCCAGGCCATCACAAGGGAGGGGGACTGCTGAGACATATCTGGGAGAAAGTCTGAGATTTGCATCAAGAAAAGTTTCCAGACAAAACTGGTTTGGCTCAGTTGTAGAGCGTCAGTCTGTGGACTGAAGGGTCCCAGGTTCGATTCTGGTCAAGGGCATGTACATTTGTTGTGGGCACATCCCCAGTAGGGGATGTACAGGAGGCAGCTGGTCCATGTTTCTCTCTCATCGATGTTTCTAGCTCTCGATCCTCTCCCTTCCTCTCTGTAAAAAAAAAAAAAAAAAAAAAAAATCAATAAAATATATTTTCTTAAAAAAGGAAAGGAGTTACCAGTGCTAAAAAACACATTTGAAAATCACCAGGTTGGTGGAGTACCATCTCACAGACAAAGCTGGTTGCTTAGAGACACGATGCCTGCACCCAACCACAGAGCTGGAGGGCGGAGCTGGGCTGTGAGCAGCAGCATCTTGTTCGGGCCTGGGACATCTACTCACCTCCTGGTCTTAGCCAACTCCAGCAGCAGTGACTTAATGAACAGAGAATATTATTTGTCCACAAACAAAGATAATAATATAACAGATTTTTAAAGATTTTTTTTTTACTCTGTAGTTTTATTTTATGTTATTTCAAATAATGTTTTTGTTTTTTTTTCACTTGGAGAATAAAAAGACAGAAAACAAGTTTCTAAGAATAGAGGTGTTAATGTTTTGTGAAGTGTATGTGTGTTTTTAAAGACAAATGAAAAAAATTAAAAAGACAATTGATGTTTAAGATACTTAACCTTCCACCATAGTTTAAAAAAAAAAGGAATTAATAATTTATTAATATATAATTTTTAAAAGACACTTACCCTTCCCTGTTCAACACACTTGGTCAGCATGACAATGGCATGTACATTTTTCTCCCAAACCATACGCCAAAAATCTTTCAAAGTGTTGGGTAAAGGTCCTTGTGTGGCAATGAAATCTTTCTTGGAATGGTAGCCCTAGAAATGGAAAGCCACACATATTCAATGTCAAAGGAACAGAAAGGGGAGCTCTGAAAGTCATCACCCCAACAAGCCAGTGCTCAGAGAACCTCTCCCCACTTACAGGCATGTAGTTGGCATTGATGTAATCATCGGCTGAATGGGTCTGGACTGAAAGTCTGACACGGGAAATATCATCTGCGGATTTAAGAGTGAAAAAAGTCCTCGTGAGAAAAGCAAACATTTGAGGAGAAAGACATACAAGAGAGGAAAAAGAGGAACAAGATAGCACAGGGGCCCTGTCACCCTTTGGGGGAACACAGGGTGGCATTTACACATGCGGCCACATTTAATCCTCACAGTCACCCTGTGTCACCGTGGCACGGAGGGGCTATGTGCAGTCAGTGGCAGAATCAAGGATTGAACCCAAGCAGCCTGGCACCAGGGCCCCAGCTCTCAGCCAGGCCACCCCACCTTCTCAGATGATACAAGCCACATCTGTGAGCACCTTGGGTGAGAGCCACGAATCAGGTAACACCCTCAAAACCACCCTACAGCCCAGCCGGTATGGCTCAGTGATTGAGCATCCACCCAGAAACCAAGAGTTCACAGGATCCATTCCCTATCAGGGCACATGTCTGGATTGCAGGTTCTATCCCCAGTAGGAGGCATGCAGGAGGCAGTCGATCAATGATGTTTCTCTCTCGCTGATGTTTCTATCTCTCTATCCCTCTTCCTTCATCTCTGAAATCAATATATATATATATATATATATATATATATATATATATATAGACAGACCTCGCCTACATCTGGTCCTGCCACAAGTCACTTAGCTACTCTGTGCCTCATTTTCCTCATCTGCAAAATAAATATTCCACTACTTATTTTATAAGGTTCTTGTGAGGACTGGATTCAACGAAAGATGCCAAAATACAATGCTTAGCACACAGTAGGTGACTAATAAATGGTTGTGGAAGTGGCTAGTTGATATTTTGATTCCCCTCCCCTCTATTGCTACAATAGTGATGGCCAAGGACAGGAAAAAAAAAAAAAGAAGACCATGTGGGGAAAAACAACTTACAAGGCAGAACATTATTATAGCGATTCTTCCCTCTATTCTCAGCCAGTTCAGCTGCATATTTAGGTTGACTAATTCCAACAAGCTTCAGATCCTGAAAAGAAAAGAAATAAGTTGTCCATTTAGTTAGTATTCAAATATACTTTAGTTGACAGCTCTCTAGCTTGAATTCCCAGTTTCTGTATCTGCATAATCTTTAAGCATCCACACCACGAGAATCAAAGGTCCATCTACTAGTAAATCAGGGGTGGGGAACCTTTTCTCTGCCAAGGGCCATTTGGGTATTTATCACATCATTCACAGGCCATACAAAATGATCAACTTAAAAATTAGCCTGCTATATTGGTCAAACATGTAATTAACTCACCCCTAATGCCTTGGCAGGGCCAGACCAAATGGGCCGAAGGAGGGAGATGGACGTTCCCCACCCCTGATCTAAGTGCTCCCAGGCCACAGGGCAGCAGTGTGACCCGAGGGGGCACACAAGAGCTGTGGGCCCCACCAAGAGGTCGCCTCTTACCCAGAGCTTCACCATAAAATGAAAATAAGCAGTTCTATAACTTTCGGGAAAAACGCAGCAATAGAAAGCACACTGTTTACAACCACATACTTCGTATTCTTCTGCAAACCCACAGTTGGAGTCAGCTTGCTGTTTCTTAAAGTAGGTCTCAAAATTCTCCACTCTGACCAGCTTGGATCTAAGAAAACAAAACAACGTAAGAGGACGGTATACGTTCAATAAGGTTTAAAATTAGAAAAATGCAAGTTATTTTTTAAAAAGCCAAGAGCTTACTCACTTTTTAGGTCTTCACCATAGAAAGGGAAAGAAGGAAAAAACAGGCCGTTAGAAAAAAATGACTCAACGAACCAAGCCTCAGGAGACAATCCATCGTATACTTTTCTGGAGGGAGGGAGTGTTGGTGGAAGGCTGAGTATCACGTTGTTTACAAAACTCAGAAATGTGCACTCGGAAATTCGACTTCTAGACCCCATGATGTAACCGTTCGGCTTTGTAACTCTGAGCAAATTCTCTGCTCCTAGATCTTGGTAACCTATATTTTTAATCGCAAAATATCTATTCATGGAAGTGCTGGTAGGATATGGTCCATATGGTCCTACCTGCCGTAGTAGCCATGGCTGGAAGCTAATGCAGGAGGCGACCCCCACAGATTCCTTGCAGAATATCAAAGCTAGCAAGAGCTTCTGAACAATCATGGCCAAACATGTCAATCAGGAAACGTGACAGCAGTTTCCACCATATATTGTCTAGACCCATGGTCGGCAAACTCTCAAGCCACGTACGGCTCTTTGGCCCCTTGAGTGTGGCTCTTCCACAAAATACCACGGCCTGGGCAGTTCTATTTTGAAGGAGTGGCGTTAGAAGAAGTTTAAGTTTAAAAAATTTGGCTCTCAAAAGAAATTTTAATCATTGTATGTTGATATTTGGATCTGTTGGCTAATGAGTTTGCCGACCACTGGTCTAGACAATTACTGAACAGATGGGGGATGGAGTGTCTTAAAGTAAAGCTCATAACACTGGAAACTTACTTAATTTGAGAAAAGGACACTTCGTTGTTCTTTTCCTCTTTCCTATTTTAAAAGAAAAAAAAAAAACATTAGATAAAAAAAAAAAAAAGGTTCATTCTATGCTTTGCCCCTTTCATGTATCTACAAAATGCCTTTTCTGCGGGCATTAATCCATACACGGCACCAAGCTTACCGATCTAAGCAACCAATGCTGCCTATACAGACCTGTGGAGGCCTCTCTTTACACCATCTAAAAGTGTGGGTGGATCTTCCTACAGCTGTTTTGAGGAAATCCCATGCATAAATATGTATCAGCAGCATTACCTTATTTTAAAGTGAGACTCGCTTTTTCATAAAGCCTTTGTGATCAGCCCCTTCAGAGATGAGGACAATAGTGCTAAGCCGGAGACAGAGCCTGTAACCAAAGTTACTAGCTAACTCTAAACGGAAATCTCTTAACACCTGGAACCTGGTTTGTGGACTAGAACACACTGTTTGAAAGGAGCGACCGGACCGACACACGGTGTTTACCCATGGCCCGCTGACGGGGCTGGGACCGACTTTAAAATCCCCCAGCTTGGCGTGGAGATGAAATAAGACTATTCATACAATCGAGATTGTGGATTAGGGGGACATGGAGCTCGAGACACTGTCCCCTCCAATTGTGAAATTTCCCATAATGAAAAACTGTCTCAAAGACAGAGTCCGTTATTATTCATGTAAGCAACACTCACCTTTTCTTCCTCCAGAAGATGAACCCTCCAACAGCCACAATCACCACGGCACCGAAGATACACCCAAACACGGCTCCACAGATGACACCTGGGAGAAGTCCAAAGAGGAGGCACCTTCAGGGGGTGCTCCCCAGCCACCGGGAGGCCCTCCACCCAGAGAGCGGGTGTGTGGGTGTGACTGTGTGTGTGTGTGTGTGTGTGTGTGTGTGTGTGTGTGACATACACAAGTTCAATACCTTTGGGCCTAAAACTAGTCTACACATTTGGGTTACTGGTCCCCAGCTCACCACGAACTGGAGGGCCTCAGAAACTCACTGCTGGTCCATATGGTCTTAGGCTTGGGTCCCTGACGCTCCTAAAACTCACTGAGACCCCAGGTCTCCGGGTCTGTCTCCCCAGCGGCAAATTTAGGGGATTGGACTAGCACAGTGATTCTCAGGTTCTAACCCGTGGCTTTCTTTCTTCAAATGAAACTGCGTGCAGCAGCCCAACCAGATAAGGGTAGGAGTGGGGAGCATCTCGGGGCTCAGCCCCGTTTGGTGAGGCAACCACTGGTGCACTTCTCACCTGCTGAGACCATCAGCCATGGGGGAGCAGAGGTGCCTGCAGCACCGCGCTCAGTGACAGGAGCCCCCGCTCACCGGAACAGGTGTGGAGGCTCCCAGCTCTTCGCTCCTGGGGAGGAATTCTTTCCGGCCGTGAGCAACTACCACGTGTGAAAGCCAGACAAACTGACCAGCCTGTGGGTCCCTCTGACTCTGGCCCGGAGGGAGGGGACGATTCCTGCTTGGGTCCCTGACGCTCCTAAATCACCACACTCTGTGTGATCAAGGGCAGGAGCGCCTGACCCAGAGTCTGAGACCACATGTCAGGGCTGCCCCCAAGCCACAAGGGGTCACTGCCCCTCTCCGAGCCCGAACATCCTCATTTCTCAAATGAGCTGGACAAGACGCTTCCTGCGTCTCCTTCGAGGATTCTAGGCACTGAGCCCCCCTGTGTGTCTAGCACGTGGGCACACAAACACCTGCAGACCGACGTGCAACTGGCATTCCGAGAAGGGGACGGGGGAACCTCATGGCCTGTGACACCTCAACTTCTGAGAAGAGAAACCAGGCACCCCAACCCTCCTGGAGCCCACGGGAGGTGCATGGACTCCCAGCCTTCTGTGCACACTGGCAGCCACACCCACAGGACAGCTAAAAGCATTGATGGCCCTCCTCTACCTGGGTCCTGGGGCAAGGACACGGCCTCCGAGTAGCGGCTGAAGGACACGTAGCTCCCGTTCCCGTCGATGAGTCCGCTCTCGGGGCTGAAGGTGATGTTGGTGAAGCCGGCCACACACGCCCTGTGGGAGGACCAGAGGGAAAAGGGGCGGCTGAGCGTGTCCAGCTCGCAGGCGGGGAAAGCTCTGCGCCGGGAGGCTCGGCTCCCACAGCGGAGGAGCCGGGAGGCCTTACCGGTAGGAGCCCAGGGGCTCCAGCTTCCCGTTGTAGTAGCCATGGGTGTTGGACTCGTTCCCCACGTCGATTTCGTACTTTAGGGCTTCCGGCGGGCCCTGGGAACGCGCCTGCTGGTCCGTTGTTATGAGGTACGTCACGTAAGTCGCCGAGGACCCCCTTTTGAAATCTCCGTAGGTGTGGCTCAAATCCTCTGCAGACGGGTTAGCTAAGAAAGGCACACAGAAGGGAAGACATAAGGAAACGATGCAGGGAGACGTGGGTCTCCCACAGTCCACATAAGGACAGTGACCCAGGGAGGCATTGATGAGAGCCGCCACCTCTCCAGGATGCTTTCCGTGCCAGTGCTGAGAAGGGAAACCAGGCACCCCAACCCTCCTGGAGCCCACGGGAGGCCCAGGACACCCAGCCTTCTCTGACAGGAACTCATTGAACCGCCACGGTAATCTCATCACATAGGTTTACCGTCCCCGTTTGACAGACGGGAAAATGAAGGCACAGAAAGCGACAAGGACCCAAGGCCACAACTGCCTACAGGGTGGAGCTGTGTGTCTAACCCAGATGATCCGACTTGAGCATGTCTCCTCATCTAGCACAGGCCGGCCACTATGCCATATGGCCTCCCTCTTTCGGCAGAGGCCTGAGTGTGGAATTGGCTGAAAACCTTCAGAGCAACCTGACTAGACATTTGAAACAGACTCAAAACAAAAGGCAGGTGGGGGCAGAAAAAGATCTCGAGGTCACTGCTTGAGATTTTGCTGCAGGTTTGTGCACCTGGCGGTGTGTGCGTGCTCCACCTCCCTCGACATGAGGACAGTATCACAGGTTGATATTGCAGGAGCTGCACTGCCCTCTTCACATTTAAAGAAACATCAGAAACACGGCCTGGCCAGGGTGGCTCAATGGTTGAGTGTCGACTCATGAGCCAGGAGTTCAATTCCCGGGTAGGACACATGCTGGGGTTGTGGGCTCAATTCCCAGGGTGGAGCATGCAGGAGGCAGCCAATCAATGATTCTCTCTCATCATTGATGTCTCTATCTCTCTACCTCTCTCTGAAACCAATAAAAAATATATTTTTTCAAAAAAAAAAAAAACCAACCACCACCAAAAACAACACCACTTGGCATTTTCAATCCAGGCTTTGTGCAAAGCACCCCCACGCAGCTAGCAGACACCCTAGCATCATTCCTTTCTTACTTCCAGAGAATGTACTGGGACATTTCAGAAAAGGCAGCCTTTCCTCCACCTCCTTGCTCAGCTATGCCATGCTCTTTGCAAGTTCCCACTACAAATGCAAATCATTGTGTCTACTTTCAAGAGAAAGTCACGCTATGCTGATGGCTTGTGCGTGTGCATTTGCATGTGTGGGGAGGGGGAGGAAGAGGGCAGAGAGAAGAGAGACAGAGAAAGTTGCTTAAGAACACCTTCTGCCATCCAAAAGATAAGACCCTGTGTTGAAAAACCTAGATCGAAGGTCGGGAAGGTACAGTACATGCACCAGATCTGCCAGCGACCCGTTCTGGTCACTGGCATTTTATTAGAACCACCCCACTCATTCTTTCTGAATCTTCCGTGCCTGCTCTCACAGGAACAGAGCTGGACAGTTGCGACAGAGATGTAAGGCCTGCAAAGTTTCAAATATTTGCTGTCTGGCCCTTTATAGAGAGTTTGTCAACCCCTGACCTACCTACATCATCAGGCACACAGCCGGCCCCCTCCCACCCCATCTGAGTGCCAAGCGTAAGCTACACTGTATTTCTATCTCTCGTGAGCCTCAGTGGGCACAGAAATGGGACCTGGTCAGGGCATCCCTCACTGGCTGTTCACCCCACAATGACCTCCTTACCTTCCCCCGTGGTGAGGATGACAGCATAGGCTTGGATGGGCCCGTGGCTGGCTTCAAACCCACTGAACTTAATCTTCACCGAATTGTGACTGACATACGTAATATTGGGAGACTCATCTGGAGGAGGGGGGTCTGAAACAGAACAACACAAATGTGATCCTCGGCATCAAAACCAAAAACGGAACGATTATTAAGCCCCGAATTGGCAGTGACAGCGAGTCCTGCCCTGGCTCTGGGCACAGAATGCCAGGCTCACCCAGAGCAGGTGCAGGAGCAGGAGCAGGGAAGGAAGTGGTGGGAGCCTTCTGAGCTCACTTACACAGATTACATGTGGAAATGATAACATTTTAAATACACTGAGTTCAACAAAGTGTGATTGAAATTCACTGCAGTTATTCCTTTTTTACGTTTTTTTTTTAATATGCCTCCTATAAAAATCTGAATTATATTAACATGTCCTAATAGGAAATATCATATTACACATGAGGGTCACATTGTTTCCCATGGGACTGCACAGCTCTGGACCTGGCTTCAGCAGCCTCTCAAGTAACTGACAGCAGAGGCCACTTGGAGGCAGTGTTCCTGGTTCCGATTGTCACTGTGGAGACTCCCGGCCACGGCTCCCACATTTCCCAGCAGTCGTGCCTTTCAGCCCACCAGCCTCCCACCCCAAGACTGTCAGCCGCACTCTAGTCACCCACCTCCAGGCACCCACCTCCCCTCTCGCTGCCATCTCACCCCTACGCCCCAGGGCCCTGCCTGCCTCGCTCACCGCGTTGTTTCTCACCCCAGCACACAGGGTGCACCCAACAAATGTTGGCTATAAATCCCACACCTGATTAATCCATCTCCCCGATTTACCACCCGGCAACGCTTCCTGCCTCCTCTCTCGGAGAGAATGCAGCTCCACTTTTACTCAAATGGAAAAATGTGTTCACTTTGTACATAAAAATCCATCAGAGGAAAGGGAGCTACGGATCAAAGAGAGAGAGTCACTGGACTAAATGATAGCGGTGAGCACTTGATCCTATCACACGTTCTTCAGCCTCGGACACCACCAACTCCGACAAGCTCCTACTGGTCCGACAAGGTTTCTGTTCCCCAGGAGTTGGTACCCACTGAGGAGATGACATCATAAGACAGAACTACAGAAACGTACCCGCAATATCCATTGTTTCTGTTACGTTCTGGGGTGCTGCAGGACCCCCAAAAGAGTGGGACCCCGGACAGTCCTGCACGGTGGTGTACGCCACAATCCAGGGAGCCCCACGCATATCAGAGTCCATGTGAACGATGTCCCCTGGACCTGTGCCGAGCACAACCCGAGCAGCCACACAGGCCACCCATAAGTGTCTTCTACACACTTTATTACCTCATCCAATTTGTACAAGAGTCTTTGAAGGGAGGTGTTATTGTCCCCTTTCACAACTCAGGAAAGCAAGGCTCGGGGAAGTTAAGTAGTTTTTCTGAGATTACAAAGCTGCTAAAAGGCAGAAGTTAAGAATCCAAACCCAGGTCTGCCTTTCTAAGTCTAAGGCTCGGTCCCCAGAATCCCTCCACCACTTTCCAAGTCAGAGTCCCTGAAGTAAGAGGTTTTCCCCTCACCCCCCTTTACAAGTACAACCACTCATTCTTTAGAAGTTGTCCGGAAACTTTCTGATTCCCTAAAGCAGTGGTCAGCAAACTCATTAGTCAACAGAGCCAAATATCAACAGTACGACGACTGAAATTTCTTTTGAGAGCTGAAAACCGACTTCCACGCATGGGCAACAAATTTTCAGTCGCACTGTACATGCACACCCACACGTGATATTTTGTGGAAGAGCCACACTCAAGGGGCCAAAGAGCTACATGTGCCTAACAAGCCCCGGTTTGCCGACTACTGCCCTAAAGGAAACATATCCAGGAGTCTAATAGCACAAAGCAAAACAAACTCAACCAGGCTGATCTATGACTTCACATTGGCAAAGACGTGGAGAGCAAAAGACGAATAAAACTGAAGCAAAGAGAGAAGCAATTTTCTTTAAGAACAATAACAAAACAAAGATGGGCATGAAAAGAGTAACTGTGGGATCCCCCGTGCACCTATGCAGTGAATGGTCCCTTTTCCCAAAACAACTGGGGAGCTTGTTAATGTGGATGCTAGGGAAATGTGAATCTTGACTGAATATCTGAAAATAGTGAAAAAAAGTATTGCTACATTTTTATGTGAGATGATAATATTATAGTAACGTGGTTATGTTTGGCAGGAAATAAAAATGAGCCCCTATCATGGAGCGATACATACATTTGATTTACAAATAAAGTTCTAATAGGACCAGGGGCCTGGCCTCAAAGTAATCACATAGGGAGGAGTGGGGAACCTGGAAGAGGAGTGGGATGGGGGAGAGAATATAAATGAGACAAGATTGGCCAAGTGCTGACAAGTGTTCAACTGGGTGACAATGGACACGTGGGTTTCATTATACTTCCTTGTACTTTTTTGTATACTTGAATATTTCTATAAAAATACTTTTTTTAATGTAGTAAGGGAACTCACTATTTAGAAAATGTGGCAATGAAATATTCTGCAAAGCAAACTTTGGGGACATTAAACATGAGTCTCTCTTACACTTCCTCTTTAGACTGGGTTTCTATAGAATTGGGTTAACAGTCCATGCCAACAAAAACAAATATTTTAGCAAAAAATTTAAACACATACACACACACACCCAGCAGAATCCCAGGCCACATGCACAGACCCAGTAGGTCAGCCTCTCCAGGGGTAACCGCAATGCCACCAGGCCACCCTGCCGCCACGAAGCCCACCTGTGATGCCCGTGAGGCAGGTGTTTTGGGAGGGAGGTGCCATCTTGTCACAGGACAAGGCAGTGATGCTGATGTTATACAAGGTGGAAAAATTCAAATATGTGACTTCCGTCCTGTACTCAGTGCCATCCTCCGAGGAGCAGCCCTCCAGGATTGTCGTATTTTTCCAGTCTCCGCTGCTGACCCCCAGCTTAAAGCCTTCGTTGGTGCCGGGAGGGCAGGCCCACTTGAGCACCAAGGCTGGCGTTTTGGGGACCCCTTCACATTGGAAGGAGGCTACTGGGGCCGGGTCTGCAAAGCAAGCACAGCACAGCATGAGACTCGGGGGCTCTGGCCTCTGCAAACACTGACCCCCCGGGGAGAAGGAGGATCCTGGTGCACCATGATGAGGAGGCAGGCGTGTTGTGTGGCAGAAGAGGCAAGGCTGACCTGGAATGGGGCATTACTAAACGAGGTGATGGTGCGTTCAGCATCCACCTGCTCTGAGCCTTGGCTGCAGGACTCTGGGGATTACATGAAACAAAGGCTGTTGGACACCAAACTGGAGGAGACCGGGCACCCCTCGATAAACACCTACTCTCCTCCTTCCTTGTGTTCTCCCCTCTCCTCGGCAGTCACCATCATCTAATAACTACCGTGTCATGTTTATGATGTCCCCACCAAAATGAAAGTTCCAGGAAGGCTGGGACCTAGCTGAGTCAAGTTGTCTTAAAGTGCCTGGCATATAGTAAGTGCTCACGAAATATTTATTGCGTGAATAAATGATGAGGGCAACCAGAGAGCACTAATGAGCTCTCAGAGGCTAATAAGCTCACAGGATGCCTCCGAGAGCTCACTGTCTATTATAACATACACACAACACCTGGTAAACTAAAGTGTGGAGAGGACCCACCTGCAAGGCTGGCACCCCACAGGAAGAGGTCCAGCAGGCACCTGGGGCTACTCACCTGTACAGAATGGCTTCCAGCCAGGGTCCAGTGACCAAGTGACATTCTGGAGGGTGAAGATCTTGACTCTGTACCGGGAGCCAGGTGTTAACTCGGTGACCATAGCATTGGTGATGCCCGTGTCTGTGACTATTTCAGTTGCATTGCTGGAATCCCCGTCTTTCTCAATGAGAAGGCGGTAGACGTACATGAAAGAGGCCTCATCAGAGTTATTCCATCTGAAGGTTGCCGATGTGCTGTTGGTACTTATTTCAATGTTGAACACATTGCTGGGCCCTTGGTTTTGTGTTTTGTATTTTTTTTTTTATAAAAAAAAAAAAAAAAAAAAGCATGCATTAGCTTGAATTCCAGGATTCTTATCTAGTGCATGTAAAAATAGCCTACCTCCTTTGGAGAAAGAATGAATAAACCTAATATTTGCTAATTCAAAAGATGGAAGACTTCTCAAAAAGGCATTCAGAGAATAATTATACAGATTATATCTCAAAAAGAATAAACTTTTTCATGCTTCTGTCGATACTTCATAAGGGTCCGAAATTTTCAAGATATAATTTCCTATCTGTTTTTGAAATCTGATCAAAGAAAAATGTATGCTAAAAAGATATTAGAAACTACCATCTCTACCACACACTTATTATGAGCAAAGCACCTCCCTCACTGCTGCATGCAAAGCTCCTCCTCTGAGCAGCATCTTCCCACACCAATGACAGGCAGACCCTCCCCTCATCTCAACTCCCAAGGAATAAATGAATGGGACAGGTATGTTTCCCAGGCTTATGGGATCACTTTCTGCTTCTAAAGACAATGCCACGTTCACTAGGCTCAGCACCAGTGCCCCATGAGAAGAACAGAACCCTTGCTGATAGTTTCAGCTTTGAGAGCTTTGCATTTGACTTGAAGCCCAGAAACAATGGCTCCTTAGCCAATGCCTACGCCCCACCCTCTAAGGGAAAGTCAGGGAGGTACTCCCTTTCAGAGGGCGTCCTAAGACACTTACGTGTGTACTGCTCAATGAGCCTAGAGATTCCCTGGACACCGTTCACTTCTGGAACAATGGTGATGTTATACAAGGTGCCCGGGATCAGGCCCTTGAGAGTGATGGCTTTGTAGGAGCTGTTCATCTGGCTAGAGCCGTGCTTAGACTCCAGCTGTAGGTGGTAGATGTAGTCAGAGGCATTGTCTATACTCTGCCACTCTAGCCCCATTTCAGTTGTGGTGACATTGACCACACGGATGTCAAACACTGCAGCCGAGTCTGGTTGGAGGAAGGGTGGGGGGGGGGTGGTGGGGAGAGAGAGTCTGTTAACGGCCATCGTAATATCTAGCTTTGCTTCAAAGTGTCTGTCAAGGGAACTTGTTCTTTCATCATGAGTCTTGAATGAATTCACAAAAGTGCAAACTCCGAAACATGGGTGAGAAACGCACACACTCAGTTCTTTCACGAATGTTGGCTCCCCCATAACACAGAGGCTCTTACCGGTTCCCCCCATCAGTTCTCTGGTCCTTTGCCTTGGTCATAAAAGTGCCCCCTTTGAGGGTCTTCTAGTAAAAACCATGTTCCGTTTCCTGACCTGAGGGCTGGCGACCAGATGGGTTCGGCTTGTGAAAACTCACCATACTACGCGCTTAGGGTGTGTGCGCTTTTCACATGTGTGTGCTTTTCGGATGTATGTTATTCTCAACAAATTTTCAATCGTTCCCTCGTTTATGTTATCCTCAACAATTATAAAACTTCATTTCATCAAAAGTTACCAGTGATTATCTCTGATTGATGGTTTATGCGTGATTATTTTTCTTATCTGTATTTTATAGAATGAATATGCATTTCTGTCACTGTAAATGTTCTTTAAAGACTTTTCTTAGGTAATAAAAGAAAAACAACATGTGGAAAACCTGGCATCTATACATTATACTGATGTTCTTTAAGAACCATCACTGTTTCGCAGACAACGCAGACTATTTGCTTACCAGTTGTATTGCAAACTGTCTGGGAATCCCCTTCAGTCCCATTTGGCCCTTGTGGAAATATTTCAAAACAGTACTCGGTCCCGGGGTATAAGCCATCAATGACGATACTAGTTTTACTGGTCGTGTTCTGAGATTTTTCAGCTCTGTCCTGTGTGGTGAGTATCTTAAAGGAGACAGAGTCATTGCTGCTCCAAGCTAAGCTAACAGTCCTTGTGGTGACATTCGTCACTCGGAAGTCAGAAACTGGACGAGGACCTGAGGGAAGAAAGGAGGGGGCAAATAAGGCTCTATCTCCAGAAAACAAGGTGACAGAACCTCACAAAATATTTACAATGAGGCTAACTGGCCCTGACCTCTCTTTTTCTCTTCTTTGCACCACCACCTACAATGTGAACCTCCTCAGAAACCGGTGTTTGGCCACTGAGAGCACACTTGGCTACAGGAGTGCAGAAACTGTTTGCTTGGTTTGTTCAAGGTCATTCCCAGGAAATGAGAGGAGGCATGTATCCCGGAGGTCAAGGGTTCAGGGTCTGGGGTGGGACCTTGGCCACTGCCAGTGTGCTTCCGGGGAAGGGGCAGACCTTGGATTAAAGCATTGATGTGGGATGTGCCAGGACCCCTGGGTTCCAGTCCCTGCCCCGCTATTTGCTAGCTCTTGCTCAGCTCATGCTGAGCTGTAGTTTTCTCATTTGTAAAACAGAGATCCTACTACCTACCTTGAAAGCCACGGCTACCCTGATACTGTTATAGTATCACCCTACGACACCACTGGCACGCCGTTAATTTTACTTTAAATTATTGGAGCCTCTTTGGACAAAAAGCTTTTAATGTGCCGCCTATCATCTGATCTTTAAGGGACAGTTAAGCAAACAAGGGATGAGACACAGCTGAGCCCTGCTTCATTATACAACGGCACCGTAGGGACAAGGGAACATGAATATCCAGGTTCTTTTTGTCTCCATGTAGCAATTTGCTCCATGTCTCCGTCACACCGTAATTATCCACACAGGCTGGGGTCAAGACACCCCCACTGTCTAACCCCACCTCTGTCATCTGCCGAGTGTGACACCTGCCAACAGCATCTCTCTCAGCCTTGACTGCCTCATCCATAAAACAGTTTCATGGCAGCCAGGTCACAGGGCTGCGAACAGTAAACAAGACAGAGCGAGGAAAACACATCACCCTACGTGGGCGTGTGGCAGGGTCGGTCGAGGATCACCAGTATTGTACTGCAGATCCTGAATATAAAAGTCCTGTGGACTCTGCAGGGCAGGAGCAGAGCCTCATACTGGGCCTGGCGCATGGCAGGTAGGCAAGAAAGGCTAGCTAACAATGCGTGCACTCACGGGTGTACACCTGGAGGAAGCCCGGCGTGCCCTCAGAGCCGTCCTGCAGGAGCGGGCGCACTGTGATGTTGTATAAGGTGCTCGAGTTAAGTGAGGTGATGAAGGCCCGAGTCTCGTTGACAGTGAGATTGAGGGAAGCGGTCTCCCCAGCAACATGTATCTCGTAGTTGTAGAGAGAGGACAAGTCAGTATCATTGATTTTCCAGGTCAGGATCATGCTCGTGGCAGTGATGTTGATGTCTGGAGCTTTCAAGTCAAAAACTGCAATGGATTCTGTGAAGACACGAGAGGAGTTCACAATAACCAGAATGGCCAAGCCAGAGAGAGAGAGAGAGAGAGAGAGAGAGAGAGAGAGAGAGAGAGAGAGAGAGAGAGAGACGCTGTCATCAGACATGCCATCTAGTCCAAGAAATACCCTCAGCAATGCTTCCTTTCTATCCCACACCGCTTAACCACAACACACACACATGTATGGGGTCCCAGCAAAAGTCAGGCATCTTCTTCTTCTATGAAGAAGCAACCTGGCCGACTGCAATAGCATAGCTGCTCTTGGTTCTCCGTGTGATGTGGTGGATTCCCTCAGGGGCAGCGACAGTGGACAGTGAGTGACCCTGCATTCCCTGTGCAGCCCCTTTTCCAAACAGCACTCCACGCCCCCTTGGTGGGAAGAAGTGCCTAGGACCCATGTAGAAGCTGGGGGACAGCATCTCCCTTCTCCAGCACAGAAATCCAGAAAGCAGGTATGTGACAGCTCTCCATCTCAAGACTTTCAATCCTCAGAGTGTCAGCGAATCCAGTGCAGTCCAGCCATCCGGAGTTTTCTGGATGCTAAACCATTTTCTGTCCTGGGTCCTCCGGCCCACACCCTCTGATCTGTGGGCCTACGACAGCCTTTCAGAAGAGATAAACTTTTGGATATGGTAACCAGAGTCAGGTTATGCTGCCTGCCACCAAGCCCCTGAGAGCTGCAATGCTGTGGTGTTTGCTCCTAAACCCACAGAGCAGGCCACGTGCTTTTCCAAGTATTCGAGTCTCCATTATCATCTAGAATGAAACTCCCTGAGGGGAGGAACTGTGCATTTGTTTAGCTGCTCACCAGCACCAATCCAAAAAGCCTTCCCACACTGGTCGATCTACAGGATTTAATCCAAGGTCTGCCAGGGAAGGGGCAGACCTTGGATTAAAGCATTGATGTGGGATGAGCCAGGACCCCTGGGTTCTAGTCCCTGCCCCGCCACTTGCTAGCTCTTGCTCAGCTCATGCTGAGCTGTAGTTTTAAAGGAGAGGTAAAAAGCAGCAACAAGTTTCCATAGAAAGAGCAGCATGCTGCCCAGCTGGTGTGGCTCAGTAGTTGAGAGTCGCTCTTTTAACCAGAAGGTTTGATTCCCAGTCAGAGCATATGCCCAGGTAGCGGGCTCGATCCTCAGTGTGGAGCATGCAGGCAGCAGCCAATCAATGATTCTCATCATTGATGTTTTTATCTCTCTCTCCCTTTCCCTTCCTCTCTGAAATCAATTTAAAAAAAAAAATTTTTTTTAAGAAAGAGCAGTGTGCTTCACAAGGTCACTCCAAAAGAGGAAACTCGTTCTCTTATCTCAAGGAGAAAATACTTAAACAACACTGACTAAGTGAATATCGGTTTTAAGAGAAAAATATTTCACCAGCTTGTCTCATTGGCTCATGTGCCGAGAAATGAAGGAAAACCCGAGGCAGCTCCCAGGGTCTGCACAGAGTGTCTGAGCTCAGAGAAAGCAGTGTCTTGGCCACAGGGCTGAGAAAAACCTCAAAGGGTCTGCCCTCTCTGCTGGTGAAGCAAGGGGTAACTCAGAATCACAGAGGACAATACTTTGTGCTAGCGACTGGCTGAAGCCATTGTATGAAATCCAACATACGTGTACTAAACTCTATGGCGCAGGGATGTGCTTCCTTGCCGGTTGGTGCTTGAGGATAAACAGTGGCCTTGTACTGCATGTTAGACTTTAACCCAAGAAGCAGGACTTTCACGTCGGTCGGAGGAAAGGCAGAGGGTGGGTCTTGAGGTTCGAGTTGGCATGTGTACTCAGGGGCAGTAAGACTCCTCAGTGTCTGGGCCGACCTCTCTGTACAGGCGGCATCTGATCCAAACACAAAAGGCAAAGACGTTATGATTATGCCTGTCTTCTTGCTGCCCCACAATTAAGACCCCACAGTCCCTGCTCCCCTCCGCCCCCAAAAGAGATACCTGTGCCTGCAAAGGCCCCGGTTGGGGGCAGATGTTTCACTCTGTACTTTTATCCCAGGAAGCAGCATAGGTATCTGTGCCTCTCTTTCAAATTCATCTATTTGCATCTCTCTCTCTCTCCCTGCTTTCAGGAAATCACCTTCTCCCACTCAAGTCCAGATGTGCTTTCTCAAGGAGAGTCACCAGTCAAACATCGTTCATCAGAACCCACTCAAGTAAGGCCTGACTGCCTGTGGTGAGGAAATATACCTGAGCCAGTAAGTTGTTCTTCTAACCTAAGCTATAGTAAGTCTGGTTTCTGTCCCTTGCAATCAGGAATCCTAGCACCCACTTTGCAGTCTGTGTCCTACATACAAACTGGGGGTGAAATGTTTGTTCTCAATTCACAGAGTTGCCCTGAAAAATGCTCTGAAATCGGCAAATAACTCCTCCTCTGTCGATGCAGGACATGTCTAGGTCTGCCTCAGTATCCCTTTTCTCGGGGGATGTGGTAAGCTCCTCCGACTGGCCAGTGGGGCTCAGTTGATTGGGTGTTGTCCTATGAACGGAAGGGTTGCTGGTTTGATTCCTAGTCAGGGCACAGGCCCAGCAGCCGATGGATGTTTCACTATCACACTGATGTTTCTTTATCTCTCTCTCTCTCTCTCTCTCTCTCTCTCTCTCTCTCTCTAAGAAATCAATTTTTTTTTAATTGCAAGTAGATGAGAAGCACACTCTTGTAACTCACCTCTCTCTCTCTGTGTGTTGTCTGATTCCGAAACATTCAGGGTGGCCTTGCATATAACCTCTGGCTTGCGGACTGAAATGCTGGCACCCTCCTTGTGGTTTCCCATGGCTTCTAGGAGCATCCAGTAGGTGGTAGTGCCATTATTCTTCCAGGAAAGTGCAACTGTGGTCACCCCCGTGGCAACACGAAGGCCAGACACTGGGAGAGGCTCTATTTTAAAAACACGCGAACAAGATATGCGTAAAGTTGATGTTTCGATAGTACCCACTAAAAACCACTTCCTTTATATCAGAGTCTAGGGCAATTCCATCGATGCAGGAGAAAATATGTATCGTATGCAGAAGAGAAGAGAATAAATCTTAAATCCAGAACTTTTTAAGATCGGTAATACTCCCCAAGACAGTGGATCAACAGTGACTTGACTCTCTTCTAAATTGCCCCTTTTAAACAGCAGCATTTCAGACATCTGCTTTTGGACACCAGAAACAGAGCCTCAAATAAAGTGGTTGTTTGATATGTCTAAAGATCTCGAGTCGAGACAACACAGTAATATCATTTCGTACTACCGAGACATTTCTACGAAGGAACACATCCCTGCATTCTGAACCCAAGGGGATTTTTCCAGAAAACTTTCAATCTGTGCTATCCCCTCGCCGTTCTTTCCATCACCTGATTTGGTTCTCAGCGCCATAAACCAAACCATCTCAGCCAAAATGACTTCCACTCCCCCTACCTTTATGAGAACCTGGAGCTGCAAAGAGGCGGGTAACTTGCTCAAGAACACGCGCTTGGGGGCATCAGGAAAATCAGAACCCAGGGCTCTGGCCTTAAGCACATACAAGCACAGGTATGTTGTGGACAGAGCAGAAACCCTGCCTGAGGTTTGCAGGAGGCCGGACCTGAGGCCCCGGGCCCCGTCCAGCTGGTCCACTGTGTGGTCCTAGTCTTCACATTAAAAGTTGCTGATGCAAAGATTTCTAAACTGAGCCATTTGTGTGCCTTTTTCTTTTTCTTTTTTTTAGTGAAACACCAACAAACTTGCCGGCTGAATGACATTGGGTACCTGTTATGAGCATCATTGTGTCACAGGGGTCAGGAATCAGACCCCCTGGGTTCCCACCACTTGTCACTCTGGGATCTCATAAGAAACCTAACTTCTCAGCTTTACAGTTCCATCCACTGTAGCCCTTGGGGTTGCCAGGAGGACAAAAATCATGGAATAAGGACAGCTAAGCACATGATAGGTGCTTGTCCTCAGGCTGTAAGGCAGAATAAGGGTCCTCAGCTTCCGGCTGGCCACTTCCTGCTAACTCACCACCTTCTCTTCCCCATAAACACAAGGGGCCAATTCTCTGTCCCCTTGTCCCTGCCACCATTTCTAAACTCTGTCTTCTTTTCCCTCCTTCTCTTCTAGCACCTTCTTTTCCTCTCTTTCACAATATAATATAGAAATCTTTATTCGAGGGGAGGGGGGGGTTTCCCCCTAAAACCATGCTCTGAGTTTATCAGAGGGATAAACTCACCATCGGAGGGATAAACTCGGAGGGATGAGACACCCCATCCCTTAGCCTCTCTCTCCCCGGTTCTGTTTACTTACTGGGCTTCTGGGAAAGATTTTGCTTAAAGAAATTGTTTCCTAGCTGAAAAGCAGACAAGTTGAAAGCCATTGGTTTAGTGTTGTCTGCTCCGTGTGCAGAAGGTGCTGGCCCAGGCGGTCACTTCAAGCCCTGGACTCCAAGAGGCCAATGAGATCACACCCCCACACTAAAAAACCAACAATGAGCCTCTTTTTCAAATGTGTGCTTCTCAGCTTAAAAAGACCTTCTCACCTCTGTTTTATATTTTTGGTTCTTTTCAGCTTAAAAAAAAGAGAGAACTAATTTTGCAACTATAACAGGTGGCTCAGGATATTGACATCTAAGCTAAGTACAAATCTAAGCTCAATGAAATGTCACTGAGTACTTTCATTTGAAACCCACATTCCTCTGTAAAATCTACCAAAATTTCATTCCCCAAGAAAAATTCCTGAGGATATAAACACAACACCAATTTTCCTGGGGAGCTTAGAAGAAGCCTCGTCATTAGTGACACCATCAAAACACATTTCCAATGGGGTCGCTGCTCCCAAGTCCCAGCAGAAACGTATTAACCAATAAAAACAAAAGATTTCTACAACCAAGCAGTTGGAATTACTTAAAACATCCCCAATACAAGGGGCCTTAATACTGAATGATCAGGCGACCTGAACTTCTGGGCTTTGCACAATACAGAATCCTTTCTCCTATCCCAGAGTCAACGACAATCAATCTCTTTTCATCGGGCAACTTGAATGGACAAGGCTCTAGCCAATCGGGCAATAAGGAGTGATGGTTCATGACCATTGCTGGGAGCTAGTCATGTTACCTGTTGTGTCTTTGCTGAAAATGGCATTTCCCGGAGTGATGGAGAAGGTATATAAATTTGTTGGACTTGAGTCGGGGATATTAGTGCCGCTTTGATTTTCACCAGAAGTCTGCTGGCTGCTTTTCATCTCTTCCTTTCCTTCAGAATAAAAAGCAGCTGAGTCGTTGTTTTTCCGTACTATATTCACACTGGTGGGACTAATGGAAACAGCAAGACTGGGTTCTATTTCAATATTGTTTCCAAAGAAAAAGGAAAGAAAAAATTATATTTGCAAAAGAATTATTAGGTGTGCTGGTTAATAATGCAGGTATTTTTTTTTCAATAGATGAAGTTACACATATGTTGATGTGTGTGCTATTTTGTTGTATTGACAACAAGCTTCAAAATTTCATATGTCAAATTTGCGGAAGGTGTTTAACATAATAGATATTTTTATACTTAAAAATGTTGAATTTTGTACCAAAAAAGAGCACTTGTGGGAAGTTTTAATTTATTACTTTATTGTGAAGAAAAGTGCTGCTGAATACTTTAGGAAGCTTATGAGGAACATGCTCCATCTCAAGAAACTTGTGACACTGGTTTAAAGGCTTTTAAAGTGATGATTTCGATGTGAAAGACAAAGAACATCCAGGTCAACCGAAAAAGTTTGAAGATCAACAATTATAAGCATTATTGGATGAAGATGCATGTCAAACTCAAAAACAACTTACAGAAAGACTAAACGTTGCTCAGCAAACAATTTTCAATCATTTATAAGCAATGGGAAAGATTTTAAAGGAAGGAAGTGGGTACCACATCAACTGAATGAAAGACAAATGGAAAACCAAAAAGTCATCAGTATGAGAGCAAGGCCTTATCTATAGACACCTTCCCAGAAGTGAATTCTGCAATCATATACATACATGTAAGGATGTGTCTTTGTGGGGGGGAAAAGGGCTTTAAAGCATAGACAAAATGACAGAGGTTGGCCATCATGGCTGTAACTTGAATGAGGGCTAAATCTTTATAGAAGCTGCTACAAACGGAGACCTCAGATGCAAAGTGAGTCTATCTCCCCATTTACAGAAAACAACCACGTGTAGTGAGGCATCATCTAGTACAGAAGTATCTGGTAACTTTTTGCCAAACCCTGAAATCAGAGGAAGCTCCATAACCTCCTGGTATGAAGATGACAAGGAACAGAATCACATAGAGAAGAAAGAACTGGTCTTAGAATCCAGTCCTGGACATATGGACCTGCTCTCCCCCACCTGACCTGAAATTAATCCTTTCGAATCTCTCCTCTGTTGACAGCTCTAACACATTACATTAAACACTAAGGGTGGGTCATTAAGGCACCATGACATGGTAAACATGGTCACTGGATATGGACGTATAAAAAAATCTGTCCTGCCCAGCAGGCACGGCTCAGTGGTTGAGCGTCAACCTACGAACCAGGAGGTCAAGGTTCAATTCCCAGGTCAAGTGCACATGCCCAGGTTGAGCGCTCCATCCCCAGTAGGGGGCGTGTAGGAGGCAACTGATCAATGATTCTCTTCATTGATGTTTCTATCTCTCTCTTCCTCCCCCTTCCTCTCAGAAAGCAATTTAAATCTTCGAGTGAGGATTTTTTTAAAACTATGAAAGTTATTACAGTTATTAACTATAACTTCAAAGTGGATGCATACTAATTATATTCAAGACTAAGGAATAGCAACTTGCAACAGAAGAGGAAGCATAGCCATGGGCTCTTCTTCTCAAGGACCTAGGTACTGACCCCAGAAGAGAAAAGATGGCACAGGTAACACCACCTCAGCATGCATGTAACCTTCAAATGTCAGCATGAAGAGTGTGCCTCACCTGGCCCTGTGGAGATGCAATCATTTATGCAATCTATGAGAAGAGGCAGGAGAGGAAATAAGAGAAATGAAAAGGCACAGGCAGGGAAGAGTCTAAGGACAATAAGTTAGTACACTTCATGCCTCAAAGCCCCTCCAGACTTGCACTTCCTCTTGCTAGGGGAGCAGCTTATCGCTATGGTGTCCACTACAGTCAATGCTGAGGGTGGTGAGGGGGGTGGTAAAATGATAACCATGGTCACAGTGGTGGAGGCAGCAGAAGTTTGGGACCATGTTCCTGGCACCGTGCCAGGTGCTGTACATACATACATACAGACATACATGCATGCATACATACTCATTAACTTCATGAGGAAGACTACAGATCTGTTTTAAAGATGGATAAATGTGCTGAGAACTAAATTTTGTTAGTTCATGCAGAGATTTTGAGAAGTTTTTAGGAAAGCAAGTTCTTGTGTTTCAATAGTTTAGAAAATAAAGCACTTTTAAAATATGTTTTTTTAAATGTGTGTGCACCCAACAGGCGTGGCTCAGTGGTTGAGCATTGATCTATGAACCAGGAGGTTATGGTTCGATTCCTGGTTGGAGCACATGCTTAGATTGTGGACTCAGTTCCCAGTTTGGGGAGTGTAGGAGGCAGCCAATCAGTGATTCTCTCTCATCACTGAAGTTTCTATCTCTCTCTCCCTCTCCTTCCTCTCTGAAATCAATTTAAAAATTTAATAAATAAAATGTGTATATATAGCTTGTTGGTGTGGTGTGTTTTGTTTTGTTTTGTTTTGTTTTGTTTTTAATAAAGATGAGGTCTAAGAGGAATTGCCCAGAGTTCAAAACTGACAGAGCCAGGAGCCAGAAGCCAACCTGGGCCTCTGAATCTACCCCTGTGCTCAGCCGTGGAAGTATTGCTGGAAGACCAGGCTGGAAGAGGGTTAGAGCAGCTCTCGGAAGAATCAGGATACCCTCCAGCCAGGCAACAGGGCCAAAAATGGGGAGAAGAGAGATACAAGTTTGCACTTTACTGTTGAAGCTCAAATAAAGAGATCTCACATACACTGCAGACATGAAGACATTTACATTCTCTAAACCCTGCAATCCACCCCAAAGAAAGTCTTGCTCACTTGTCTGCACTTGGCAGCAGATAGAACCATTTGAGTATCTGATATAATAGTTCGTACCAGGAGCCAGCCCCGTGACTGGAGTAATGTTGTCACTGTTCCCTTGTAAATGCTGCAGATTCTGGTGGTTCACATCGATCACAGTTGTTAGTGGAAGGTTTTCCGTTGCTGTATTGGCAAGAATCTCAGTGGTAGTAGATGTGACTGTACTCAGCCCACAGGAGCTATCTAGTACACAGAAGAGAAAAGCAAAATGCAAACTAATAAAATGGCACACCCATCACATACTTGCTATACAACAGGGTGTTTTTTTTATTACACATTTTTAATCATATCATTGTTCCCTCATCTTTCCTTCTGCTCCAGAATATCACCTCTATGCACAGAGGTTTTCTTCTTTCATGCCAGTGATTCAAATCTGCCAGAGGTACAAGCTTATTGAGCAAGCTGATTAACTAGGCAGAAAAAGCAACTGCAGGATTCTTCCCATTGTTTGCACAGCCTTGGTATAATGGTATAATTACTGTTATTAACCGAGATTTCTTTATTAGAAGGTTTCAGCGTGATCTGTCCCCTTTACATGGTACTCCGAGAACAGTCTAATTATTTTATCTCTATGGTTCACAAATTTTAGGATTTTACCAATCCCCCGGGGGGAAAAAAAGTGCCCCCCTTTTTTGGGGGAAGAGGCTATTTACGGGGAGTGCCTTTAAATAAGTATTTCTTTTTTAATTACAGTTAACATATAATATTATATTCATTTCAGGCATACAACCCAGTGATTAGACATTTTAACTTACTAAGTAATCACCAAAAAGTCCCCTAATTTTGAGGACAAAAGCTACCAACTTTTTCCAAAAAGGTACATTTTTTAAAACTACCAAGTACTATTATCTTTATTTCTTATTGAAACATTTTACAACAACAAAAAAACTTATTAACTACATAATTCCAAAATAGGCAGTACTTTCAACTGAATATAGCTAGCTTCATTAAAAACTCATTCTTGCCCTAGCTGGTTTGGCTCGGTGGATAGAGCGTCGGCCTGCGGACTGAAAGGTCCCAGGTTTGATTCCCGTAAAGGGCACATGCCCAGATTGTAGGCTCAGTCCCCAGTAGGGGGCCTCCAGGAGGCAGCTGATCAATGATTCTCATCATTGATATTCCTATCTCTCTCTCTCTCCCTCTTCCTTCCTCTCTGAAATCAATAAAAATATACATTTTTAAAAACTTATTCTTATATCCTTATTTTTCTCATTTTACTATAGACTAGGGAGGATTTCAATAGACCAGCACTGGAGTTAGTGGGTGGGATCAAGCACTCCACATGGAAGCAAAATACACAAAAGGCTGTCTGGTTTTCTAAAGGTTATACAAACTCTGTGCACCATTTAAAAATCATGGGGCAATGTAACAACTCAAGAAAATACTTATAGGATCACAGCACATAAAATAAAGCATACTGCATCCTGGTATAATGGTTTCAATTAAGTTGTATGGGTTTTTTGTGTGTGTGTGTTTTTTAATCACTCATGGATATAGGTTGGAAAAAAATCACAGAAAATATAATTTTTTTCTTTGTCCATGTTGTACAATGGATTGAATTGTTTCCTTCACCAGCCGTTTCAACCCCCACAACACACATTTAAAGAACAACTGAAAACTGAATTTTCACAAATTAGCATTCTCTGTGGCTTTCCCATTGCTATTAATGTTGCTGTGTCCATCAGGGGGCAGTAACAAACAACACACGAGTGGAGAGGGAAGTGGTACTTACTACTACAGGCATCTGTGCACAAAATCTGTAACAGAAAAGGAAAACGGAAGTCAGCAGATTCACTCAGCCTCGGAAAATGCAAATGAGTAACAAGCAGCTGAGAATTTAATAATGGGGTGGGGTGCTAACAAGTCCATTAAGCTAAGGCCTGCTCGCCTTGGTTAGAGTGTGGGGACACTGAGTCCGGGAACTCAGTGTACCGGCGGGTCAAGGACGAGCAATGGCTTCACCTGGTTGGATGTACAGAGAATGACCAGCTGGTGGCTTGCCAATGTTTGTCCTCACAGATACATCCGACACTCCCTCCTGACACTCCATCATGATCTGTGTTAGAAGGACCCAGAAAGAAAGTGCCAGAAAGAGAGGAAGGCAAGGCCAGGCCACCCTTCCCCAGAGCCATTTCTGGGTCTCAACTGCAGGGTGGAAAGCCAAATGTGGGACCGAAGAAATACACTGGGCTTGGGATTTTTGTTGTGCAAAAATTTCATCTTCTTTTTTCTGCCAAGAGGTGGCAGTAATCTTTTTTTTTTTTAAATTCTATGGCATGCAGCTTTAGGAAGAATGAGGGTTTGAAATGAGGGTCTTTAAGACTGTTTAGTTGACAGTGTCTCCATCTGTCATCTTTAGGACTCTGGAGGTCCTCAAAGATATTCATCGTGATCCATCAATTACTTCCCCATACTTTAAAAGCCTAAGTTGAGTGTTCTATGGTTTGTTGGTGGTTAACAGAATTTTTCAAAGGAACAGGAAAAAAATCAGAAGGGACCTTAGTGGGGAAAAATGCCCCCCAACTTCCCATCACACTAAGAATAAAATTCAAACTCTGAGCCACAGCATAAGCCCTCTCTGATCTCCTCACCCCCACACGCCCTCACAGTGTTGCTGAAACTGGTTTCCCCTTTAGAGACTTACAGATTTACTATTGGCTTCTCCAAAACATTCTGCCCAGACCTTCCCATGGCACAGCCTAAGAGTCACCTCTTCCATGAGTCCTTCTCCAACTAGCCAATGGAAGTCAGTGCCCCTCATGCTCCATCACATCATAGTGTGTTTTCTCCTCAGCATTTACCTCAATTACGCTCAGTCTCCTCCAACCAAAGTACCCCTGCATGAGACCAGAAGCCTCCTCTGTGCCCTGTGCCTAGACTGGTGCATACAGCAGGGACACACTCAACCAATGCCACTGAAGAAAAGAATGAGCCTCTCATTTTAGCGAGGAGGCAAATCCAAAGGTCCAGAGATGGGGAAAGATTAGCCCCAAGATTCCAGGACAAGGCCAAGGCCTGACAAAAAGCACTATGGGAACCTCCACTTCCAAATGCATGCTGAGGATAAAAAGGAAAGAACTCTAGCTTACTAAGCATCTACTGTGTGCCAGGCACTGAGCAAGCCTTCCTCTACATCCAGTGTCTGAGCACACGGTCCTGGAATCGCGATTAGGAGCATGGGATCTGGAACCAGACCACCTGGAGGAAATCATTGAGTGCCACCATTTGCTGGCTATGCGACTTGGGCCAAGTAGCTTGATCTCTCTGATCCTCAGTGTCTACATCTGTAAACAGAGATGATAATTACAGCTGCCTTGTTGCAGTGAGGATGAAATGAAATCATCTATGTAGCTGCTGTTGCCATCATCATCACCTTTCAAACTTCACAGCAACTCTACAAGGAATTTTCACCCCCATTTTCCCAACGACAACACCAAGGCTCAGATCCTTGTAACCAAACCAATGAGCAATCTGAAACTCACATTGTCCAAAATATTTCAATAATTGGTCAACAACTGGGTTACAGAGGTGGGCATTAAGGCCCAGAGAGAGCAGGTGGCTTACCCAAGGATACACAGCTGGTGAAGAAGCACCAAAACCAGAACCCAGGTCTTCACCTCTGTCTTGACCTCAACTACTCTAGCCTCGCTTCTCCAATGCCTTCTCTCCTAAGATTCTGACCTGACCTAGAGGGAGGACTAATAGTTCACCTTCCTTCTTGCCATCACTCTACAAAGTCACCCAAGGTCATCTGCAGATGACCGAAGGCTTATGCAGTCCCCCATAGCTGAGTAACAGGAGCAAAACCTGAGATAAGGGAAAGAGATAAAGCTCTCTGACTTTGCAGGAAGACATACCAACATATGAGAGAAGAATATGAGACTGTTTCTCAGTTCTACCAAGCACTTTGGTTATTTAAACGCCTCAGGTACAGTAGAAACCCATTGGTCAACCAGATGGCTTGGCATGAATTGTATCCCAAAATGCCCAACAGTACACAGTAGATTCTTCTCCCTCCTCCTTTCTGAGGAGCTGACCCTTGGTATTGAGTCCCCCAGCCTGTCCTTAGCTGCCCTCTCCCATAGAAAGGTATGTTCTTTTTCACACCTCCTTTAGTTATGCTGATGAGCCAAAGCTCTCTCTCCTCATCTTCGGGAACCACCAGCAGTTCCCCAAATTGAACTCCACAGAAAACAAAACTATTAACAATGTCCTCTAGGCCATCCCAATTCGGCCAAAGCCATGGCCATCACATCAGTGGTCCACTCTGAACACTGGATTCTTCCTAGGCAACACCTACTCACAGGGAGCTCACTAGCTGCATTTACCTAAAACTTCTAAATTCTACCCCAACTCCTGTGCATATAAACATTCTCCTACAAACACACCCAAGTGGACCCATGCATAATCTCTTTCCCTCTCTTTGAGTCCCTCTCTGCATCATTAAACCTGTCTCCCATCTATAAACATCAGAATAACCTCTGACTCCTCCCTCCTCCATCCTTCCTGGGTGCACTCAGTGGCCATGCCCTAAAAATGCTTTTTTGCCCAATACACCTTGACTTCCCATTTCCATACTGTGGCTATCTTAAACCAACTCCTCATAACCTGCAGACCTGAATAACAGGGCTGATAAGAACTCAGACCATTTCCATTTTTATTTTTTTATTTATATTTTTTTATTTGATGCTCTCAGGACACACAGAGCAGGGTTATATCTGCTACGCTACATTTCTGTCCCAATCCTGGCAGCACACTGCAGTGACTCCATCTATAATCCCTCACTTAGAACCTAAAAAGCCAAAACCTCCATTTGTGAACAGCAAAGGTGAGAGCCAGGCCCTGTTCCTTCATCCACGTACCTGACTGCCGCTCACCTAGTCTCTCCCTTCAATGCACAGTGAAAAATAAGTAAAGGGCTCGATCAGGCTTTCTAAAATATGCCAGAATTCATCAGGATCTTGGCAGGGACAGGTGACAGACACACTCAACCAGGGTAAGTGTGGAAAGTTCAAAAGGGTCTGTGTACAGGATGTGGGTGGGGTAAGGGAAACCAATAAGAAACGGCAAGAATCCTGAGGTAGCCGTGGCTAGGTAGTTCAGTTAGTTAAGAGCGCTGTCCCAATATGCCAAGGTTGCAGGTTCAATCCCAATCAGAGCACATATATGTGTCAACCAATGAGTGCATAAATAAGTGGAACAACAAATTGATCTCTCTCTCTCTCTCTCTCTCTCTCTCTCTCTCTCTCTCTCTCTCTCTCTCTCCTTTCCCTCTTCCTTTTTCTCTCTAAAATCAATAAAATCTAAAAATAAAAATCCTGAGACAGCAGCAATGATAAAGGACAAGGACTTCCTCTCCCACATCTCCAGCTGGGTCCTCTTTCTAGGCATTCGGCCAGGAAGCTGGAGGCCAAGGGCACCCAGCACCCACTGGTGCAGAAAAAACCAGTCCCCCCCTTTAGGCTGCAGGGTGGAGATGGGTAGGTGGGAGTCTGCAGGGCCACAGGGAAGATCCAGGGCACAGAGCTAATTCACTGCTGAGGAACCGAGTCTGGTGAGTACAGCCCAACACAGTGATCAAGTGCTTCAGGTTCAACTTGCTCTAATACTTGTGAGCTCTGGGGCTTGAGGGTCTCACCAAGCCATCTGTTTCCTCAATTATAAAATAGCCAAAGGATACATGCAATACAGATCCCACAGCTGAGTTCTCTTGAGGTTCAAGCAAGACAAGGTTCCTACATTCCCAGCCTCACAGCCTTCTTCCTGCCTCATCAAAGCTCCAACGCTGCCACCCATAACTCATCTGATGACCTTCTGTGACCACTTCAGCCCTAGGAGCTCTCCAGGCTCTGAGCCCCTTGCCATCCATGCCTTTTCCTGGAGCCTGCACTGTGCCAGGCCCTAGGGGAGGTGCCAAAGGTACCAAGGGCACTTATGGTTGTGTTTCTGGCTCACCAAGAGCTCACAGGCAAGTAAAACCAAAGAGCATGAGCATGCAATGTAGACAGGAACCAGCAGCTGAAAACAGGGGGTGGGGAGGTCACCTTTGGAGCCTGGGGGACAGGTGGCTTGAAGGTGATATATAAAAGAATGAGAGCAACTCCATGTGGAAATTTAATGCTGTTTGGTTCTACCTGTTATAATATTAATTAAGCCCTAACTATTGGCCAATCTCTGCATTACAGGTGTCATCTCATTTAAGTCTTCCAACAATCCCAGGAGGCAGGCAACTGTGTTAATCCCCATTTTGCAGGTGAAGCAACTAAGATCTGGAAAAGTTAAGCTCCAGACCCATCATCTTACAACTAATGAGGGAACAGCCCAGGTCTCGCTGACTCTGAAGCCTCGGCCTAAAGCAATAACCTGGTTTGTCCCTGGACAAATCCCAGCTGAGGCCATGGGACACAAAGGCAATTTCAGGGCCACCTGTCACAAACCCTCACCTTGGAAACGGGGTCTATCAACCCATTTAAATAGGCTGAATTAAAAAGGTTTCTGTACTGCTCTCAACGGGAGCAGCTTGAGGTTAAATTCACAGAGGAGCCTGGGTTTAAGCTAGTGGCAAGCTTCGGGCTTTCTATTCTACATGATCAATTTTTAGAGATGGGTAACAAGTGACTGCCTAACACAATGGGTAACAATAGACTCTTTATCCTTCTAAAACCAAGCCCACACACCATATGACAATAGTTATTTTTACCCACTGACGTAATTAACCAAAATGTGAACCGCTTCAAGCCATTTTTATAAAATCCAG